GGCAATAGCATTGAATCTATAAATTACTTTGGGTAGTATGGCCATTTTCACAATACTGATTCTATCCATAAGCATGGAATGTTTTTCCATTTGTTTGTGTCCTCTCTTATTTTCTTAAGCAGTGGTTTGTAGTTCTCCTTGAAGAGGTCTTTCACATCCTTTGTAAGATGTATTCCTAGGTATTTTATTGTCTTTGTAGCGGTTGTGAATGGGAGTTTACTCATGATCTGGCTGTTTGTCTATTATTGGTGTATAGGAATGGTCATGGTTTTTGCACATTGATTTTTGAATCCTGAGACTTTGCTGAAGTTGCTGTTCAGCTTAAGGAGTTTTTGGTCGGAGATGATGGAGTTTTCTAAATATACTATCATGTCATCTGCAGAGACAATTTGACTTCCTCTCTTCCTATTTGAATACACTTTGTTTCTTTCTCCTGCCTGATTGCCCTGGCTGGAACTTCCAATACTATGTTGAATACGAGTGGTGAGAGAGGGCATCCTTGTCTTGTGCTGGTTGTCAGAGGGAATGCTTCCAGCTTTTGCCCATTCAGTATAATATTGACTGTGGGTTTGTCATAAATAGCTCTTATTATTTTGAGATACATTCCTTCAAAACCTAGTGTATTGAGAGTTTTTAGCATGAAGGGGTGTTGAATTTTATCGAAGGTCTTCTCTGCATCTATTGATAATCTTGTGGTTTTTGTTATTCATTCTGCTTATGCGATGGATAACATTTATTGATTTGTGTATGTTGAACCAGCCTTGCATCCCAGGGATGAAGCCAACTTCTTTGTGGTGGATAAGCTTTTTGATGTGCTGCTGGATTCTGTTTGCCAGTACTTTATTGAGGATTTTTGCAACCATTTTCATCAGGGATATTGGCCTGAAATTTTCTTTTTTTGTTGTGTCTTTGCCAGGTTTTGGTATCAGGATGATGCTGGGCTCATAAAATGAGTTAGGGAGGAGTCCCTCTTTTTCTATCATTTGGAATAGTTTCAGAAGGAATGGTACTAACTCCTTTGTACTTCTGGTAGAATTTGGCTGTGAATCTGTCTGGTCCTGGGCTTTTGTTTGGTATGCTAGTAATTACTGCCTCAATTTCAATACTTGTTATTGGTCTATTTAGGGATTCAACTTCTTCCTGATTTAGTCTTGGGAGAGTGTATATGTCCAGGAACTTATCCATTTCTTCTAGATTTTCTAGCTTATTTGCATAGAGGTGTTTATAGTATTCTATGATGGTAGTTTGTATTTCTATGAGATCATAGGTGATCTCCCCTTTATCATTTTTTATTGTGTCTACTTGGTTCTTATCTCTTTTCTTCTTTGTCTGGCTAGTGGTCTATTTTGTTGATCTTTTCAAAAAGCTCCTGGATTCGTTGATTTTTTTTGAAGGGTCTTTCATGTCTCTATCAACTTCAGTTCTGCTCTGATCTTATTTATTTCTTGTCTTTTGCTAGCTTTTGAATTTGCTCTTGCTCCTCTAGTTCTTTTACGATGTCAGGGTGTCAATTTTAGATCTTTCCTGCTTTCTCTTGTGGGCATTCAGTGCTGTAAATTTCCCTCTAAACACTGCTTTGACTATGTCCCAGAGATTCTGGTATGTTGTGTCTTTGTTCTCATTGGTTTCAAAGAAGTTATTTATTTCTGCCTTAATTTCACGATTTACCCAGTAGTCATTCAGGAGCAGGTTGTTCAGTTTCCACGTAGTTGTGTGGTTTTGAGTGAGTTTCTTAATTCTGAGTTCTAATTTGATTGCACTGTGGTCTGAGAGACTGTTTGTTATGATTTCTGTTCTTTTGCATTTGCTGAGGAGTGTTTTACTTCCAATTATGTGGTCAATTTTCGAATAAGTGTGATGTGGTGCTGAAAAGAATGTACATTCTGTTGATTTGGTGTGGAGAGCTCTGTAGATGTCCATTAGGTCCACTTGGCCCAGGGCTGAGTTCAAGTCCTAAACATCCTTGTTAATTTTCTGTCTTGCTGATCTGTCTAATATTGACAGTGGAGTGTTAAAGTCTTCTACTATTATTGTCTGGGAGTCTAAATCTTTTTGTTGGTCTCTAAGAACTTGCTTTATGAATCTGGATGTTCTTGTAATGGGTGCATATGTATTTAGGATAGTTAGCTCTTCTTGTTGCACTGATCCTTTTACCATTATGTAATGCCCTTCTTTGTCTTTATCTTTGTTGGTCTAACGTCTATTGTATCAGAGACTAGGATTGCAACCGCTGCTTTTTTTGCTTTCCATTTGCTTGGTAAATATTTCTCCATCCCTTTATTTTGAGCCTATGTGTGTCTTTGCACATGAGATGGGTCTCCTAAATACAGCACACCAATGGGTCTTGACTCATTATTCAATTTGCCAGTCTGTGTGTTTTAATTGGGGCATTTAGCCCATTTACATTTTAGGTTAATATTGTTATGTGTGAATATTATCCTGTCATTATGATGCTAGTTGGTTATTTTGCCAGTTATTTAATGGAGTTTCTTCATAGTGTCAATGGTCTTTACAATTTGATATGTTTTTGTAGTGGCTGGTACCATTTTGCCCTTTCCATATTTAGTGCTTTCTTCAGGAGCTCTTGTAAGGCAGGCCTGGTAGTGACAAAAATCTCTCAGCATTTGCTTGTCTGTAAAGGAATTTTTTCTTCTTTGCTTATGAAGCTTAGTTTGGCTGGATATGAAATTCTGTGTTGAATTTTTCTTTAAGAATGTTGAATATTGGCACCCACTCTCTTCTGGCTTGTAGAGTTTCTGCAGAGAGATCTGCTGTTAGTCTGATGGGTTTTCCTTTTTGAGTAACCTGGCCTTTCTTTCTGGCTGCCCTTAACATTTTTTCCTTCATTTCAACCTTGGTGAATCCGATGATTATGTGTCTTGGGGTTGCTCTTCTCCAGGAGTATTTTTGTGATGTTCTCCATATTTTCTGAATTTGAATGTTGGCCTGTCTTGCAAACTTGGGGAAGTGCTCCTGCATAATATCATGAAGTGTGTTTTCCAACTTGATTTCTTTCTCCCTGTCACTTTCAGGTACACCAATCAAACACAGGTTTGGTTTTCTCACATAGTCCCATATTTCTTGGTGGCTTTGTTTTTTTTCATTCTTTTTTCTCTAATCTTGTCTTCATGCTTTATTTCATTAGGTTCATCTTCAATCATTGATATCCTTTCTTCCACTTGATCGATTCAGGTATTGATACTTGCATATGCTTCACAAAGTTCTCATGCTGATTTTCAGTTCCATCAGGTCATTTATGTTCTTCTCTAAACGGGTTATTCTAGTTAGCAATTCCTCTAACCCTTTTTCAATGTTCTTAGCTTTTCTGCATTGGGTTAGAACATGCCTCTTTAGCTTGGAGGATTTTGTTACTACTCACATTCTGAAGCCTACTTCTGTCAATTCATCAAACTGATTCTCTGTCCAGTTTTGTTCCCTTGTTGGCGAGGAGTTGTATTTCTTTGGAGAAGAAAAGGTGTTCTGGGTTTTCAAATTTTCAGGCTTCTTGTGCTATTTTTTCCTCATCTTTGTGGATTTACCTACCTTTCGTCTTTAATGTTGGTGACCTTTGGATAGAGTTTCTCTGTGGACATCCTTTGAGCTGATGTTGATGCTATTCCTGTTTGTTAGTTTTCAATCTAGCAGTCAGTCCCCTTTGCTGCAGCTCTGCTGGAGTTTGCTGAAGGTCCACTCCAGACCCTGTTTGCCTGTATCACCAGCAGAGGCTACAGAACAGCAAAGATTGCTGCCTGTTCCTTCCTCTGGAAGCTTCATCCCAGAGGCGCACCTGCCAGATGCCAGCCAAAGCTCTACTGTATGATGTGTCTGTTAACCCCTGATGGGAGGCATCTCCCAGTCAGGAGACATGGGGGTCAAGGACACACTTGAGGAGGCAGTCTGTCCCTTAGCAGATCTTGAGCACTGTGCTGGGAGATCCACTGCTCTCTTCAGGGCTGGCAGGCACAAATGTTAGTCTGCTGAAGCTGTGCCCACAACTGCCTCTTCCTGATCTTGTCAAATCCATATTCTTTATAGAAGTCATTGTTGTGTGCACTGACTCTAAGGCTGCAACTATTCATGATCCATGTTACGAGAGCAGGTACCCATAATTAACAACTTTAGAAGAAATGGTAATGTAAAAATAGCTGAGTTAATATACATTCCAGTTTGTTTAGGGCAGTCACAATTTACCCTTGTTGTCCTGACAGAATTATGAATTTACTCTCAAGTGTTCCAGTTTACACAGTTGCCCTGTCTCTAAAGCATGCTTTTGGATTTGAATATAATTACCTTTAGAAAAATAACAGTAACCCATGGAAGTGCCTAGAGACCTTTAAAATATGTAAAATAATTCCATCTTTAATCCTTGTGATTGGTTTTAGAAAGAAGTGGTGCCAGGGAAAATGTTCTAACAAAGATTCAATAGCCATGTATCATTTTAAAATTTAAATATATTATTGTAATGTCCTATCTACTTAACTGCTGCTATGAAGATGAACACTTAGGGTCACACAGACCCTCATTTAGACACAGTTCTTGTGAAGACAGAGCAGGAAGCAAGATTTCAAAGCACTGGCAGGCTCTACATTAAATACATATTTCTTCTACCATCTGTCACCATATCTAAAATACCTCTATAATCCAAACTCATTTATTTGGGTTTTAATTTCTTCTGTAGTATTCTATTAAACTGGACTGGTACCATAGAGTTCATTAATGACAATACCTGATCAGAAGGGAGCTGGTTTCTGGAACCAAGGCTTCCCAGGACAGAGCCAGATGGAGTAGTACCAGGTGAGTACCAGATGAGAAGTACCAGGTACTAAACAAGATGCTCTGCTTAGGGTGTCCCTGACCCTTCTTAGCATTTTAAGCAACACCCATTATTTGCACCTTTGTGTCTCTCAACAGAGAATCTTACCCCAGAAGTTATAAAATCTTGAAAACAATCACAGCTAATGCTTGTTACTGCTCTCATACTATTTTAAGACACATCTGTGTTCATTTGGCTTTATAACGCTGTAACTTTTATTCTAATACACACATTGATTAAATTAAACAAAGTTCAGGCATAAGGCAATATACAACCTTGTTCCCTAAAACATCCAGGCACTTTCAGCGTCTTTCAGCACAGATGAGGTATGGTTGGGGCTGCAACGTCATGCCTAACCTGGGCTTCAGATTTGGAACTAGTTCATGTGGAAAATGCAAATGAAACCTCTGAAGCAATGCTGTAAAAAACAAAAACATTTCCATCCGAGCCAACTGTTCTCCAAGACAATGTCTTCTCCCTAAACAGAAAAAGCAGATATAATAATTTTTTAAACCTCCAATATTTACCAAAATTAATGTCTAATATTTGGGTGTCATTCAGAAAATCTGGAATTTAAAGAAAGTGAGAGGGAATTATGTTTATTGAAGGATTTTCTTAAATCTCAAATAATAGAAATTGACAGTTCAGCTCCCAGAACCCATTCCTTTACTTCCTTTTGTCAGACAACGGACTTTTGTAAGACTTTAGTTCCAACTCCCACTTCCCTTGTATTGTACAGCAGAGCCTAAAATACGCCATGAAAAATCTAATTTGAGGTGAGATATTTTGCTCAAGAAAAGACCACTTCATTTCAACTAATTGTGTAGTCTTCACCATTGAAGGGGAAGAGTTCCATGGGTTTTGTGTACCTTTTCAAAGAAGAAGCAATATTTTCCTAGTTGAAGAGGAGGTACAATAACCAGAAGCCAAGAGAGTGAGATTCTAGTTTTACTTAAGTGACTGTGTTTTTTCCCTCTCTGGGTCTCAGTTTCTCAACCTACCTGTCACTGACTTCTCAGTTCACAAGTTTTGACTATAAGCCAAAGAGCCACAGGCAAAAAGAGTTTTAGAAGAAGCCAGAAGTTCTCAAAAGTTTATCTCTTGTTAATAAATTATGGCTTATTTTAAGCAAAAGCAGGTGTTAATTACTTCCAATTAAATCATTCTCTCCTGTTCAGTGCTATGTTTTTAGATTTAGAATATTTAATTCTATAGCAGGATGCTTCAGATTAAGATGCTATATCTAATGAACTACTATTATCCTTTATTCTAAAGTTATGCCCTGTGAAAGTTTGCTTACCTAGGGAAAAAGGAATCAAAGCTTCCTTCTTGGCAAAATATCCACTGTTGTCCAGAAATCGCTCAGGATGGAATACTTCTGGTTCTCTCCAGTACTTTTCATCAAAGTGTACGGAATAAAGATTTGTAATTACTGTTGTACCTTTAGGAATGGAATAACCACGTACAACTGTATCTTCAGAGGTTGCATGGAAAATCCCTAATGGAACTATGTTACAGAATCTTAAAACTTCATGCAAAACTGCCTCAGTATAAGGCATTTTGCATTTGTCGTCCCAAGAAGGCTTCCCACTGGGGCCCATAATTAAATCAATCTCTTTCTGAACTTGTCCTGTCAGAGAAAAAGTATTCGAGTTATTATGCAATTCTTAGAATTACAGCTAAAGTTATTTCCCTTTGGAATAAAATAAAGGATAACCTATAACAGACAACAGGATATAGATATACCCAGATTCAGATTTTTTATTATCTGGGAGTTCCACTGAAATATATGCTAATAGTAGCCAGTGCTCTGGGTAGCTGTACTGTGCAAAACATATTAGAAGTAATAAGAATAAACATTAAATAAATCTAGAATTAGAGTAACATCACTCTCAGTAAGAAAAACAGTAGAGCATAAAATTAATTTTTTAATTAAAAAAAATCAGAGTTCAGGTTCCAGCTCCACCACTTGCAGATACTCAGCCTTTTTCCTCATTTATAAAATAGGCATAATAAGACCTATTTCAGAGATTTTTTTTTTACATGAATTGAGATATAGATTTGAAAACTTTTTTGTAAATATTACATATTTCTACCCTTGGCTGGCACAGCAGGAGTTCCTAAAGAAAACGTATTGTGCATGGCCAAGACTCAAAAACATATATGAACCCTACATGTAAGGACAGACCCTGAGATTATCAAGAGAATCCTCACCTTGAATATTAGGATAAAGGGCCATGAAAAGAATTGCCCACCGAAGCACATTGGTTGTAGTTTCCGTTCCAGCAATGATGAGTTCACCCACTGAGAAAATTAGGTTTTCTTTGGAGAAAGTAGACAATGGGTCATTTTTACCTTGATCCATCTCATCTAAATAAGCATCAACAAAATGCTGAGGTAACTGAGGCTTTCTGCTGACTGAAGCTTTTTCAATAAGTCTGGAGAGAAAATTATAGACCACAGCTGCATTTCTAAAGAGCTGTTGATGTTTTCCAAAAGGTAGGATGCCAATCCATGGAAAGGCGTTATACAAGAAGACTGAGGCACTGGCAGCTAGTTCCACATTTTCACTAAATAACTCAATCATGTGCTGAAAATCAGTGTCTTCGTAAGTGAATCGTTCTCCAAAAATAATCAGATTGGTTATGTTTGAAACAGCATTTGTTATTAATTGTTTAAAGTCAAAAGGTCTACCTTTGTATGTTTCAATAGCATCAATGAAAAATTTGGTTTCTTCTAAGATTTTAGATTCAAAAGACTTTTGGCCATATCCAAAATATCGAAAGCTGTTTACAGCTATTTTTCTGTGATCCACCCATCCTCGGCCGTATCTGGAATTGAGTAAGCCTGAAAAAACAAGGTATTAAAATATTGTATAATTTCTACTTCTCTGTATCTAACAGCTGAGAGGGAACAAAATTTTTTAAATGGATGGTTAGTCATTCTTCTCCAAATTATCCTCCTATATAACTACATGGTTGGGTCTTGTTCTCAGTAACTCATTAGCCAGAGTATTAAAACAGATAAAGTTTTTCTATTCCTTATCTGGGGACTGGCAGAAAAGACTTATAATTTTACCACTGTAAGAAGCTAGTCAGTCTTGTGTAATTTAACCTGGTAAAATAGGCCCAGGGTGACTATATTCTCCAACTTTTACTATAAGCCTAATTTACAAAAGACAAATGACCACGTGTTCTATGGGCAAAATTTTTTCTTAGACTAAACAAATACCTAAAAAATCATCCTTCTAGAATTATAAATTTTCCGCTTAAAAGAGAATGGCTTTTAGAACATATATTTCTTCCTCTTAAAGGGATATGGTAGACAACAAAGTAACTATGGCAGAGACAAGGGTACTCTGAATGAGTTGTCAATTTAGTGAAATGCTGAAGTCAAAAGGACAAAATGAAGCTCAAACTTTTCTAATGCTGATATTGCCTACCTTAAAATTTCAGAGTCTTCACAGTGTATCTGCTGTTTTGATGTGGCTACTATGGAAAATTTCCCCCTTAAATTAATTCAACATCTTCAGTGCACATATTTATGTAATATATACTTTACTCAAAATTTCACTCATTACTGGCTATCTATGATAAATCTCACATTGATATATGATTCTCAATGTTGGAGGTGAGGCCTGGTGGGAACAGATTGGATCATAGGGGCAGATCCCTTATTAATGGTCTTAAAACATCCCCTTGGTAATAAATAAGTTCCCACTCAGTTAGCTAATGCGAGATCTGGTTGTTAAAAGGTTTAGGTCCTCCTGCTACTCACTCTCTTGCTCCCACTCTTGCCATATGACATGCTGGCTTTCCCCAATGCCTTTTGCCATGATTATGAGCTTCAGAAGAAGCAGATGACCTCAGCAGAAGCAGATGCCAGCACCACGCTTCCTATAAGGCATGCAGAACCATGAGCCAATTAAATCTCTATCCTTTATAGGTTACCCAGCCTCTGGTATTTTTTTTATAGGAACACAAAATGGACTAATACAACCCAAAATGAAAAATGTTACAATCTCTTGTGTACATAAGGTGCATACAAAATTTATATTCTAACAACTTTGTACAATAGTTTTTGAATCTAGAGCTTATTAAAAAGTTATCATATGTAAGGAAGTCATTAGTGCTATGTAGCAATCTTATATTCCCATAGTCCCTTCTTTTTCTATACTCCCAGATGACTATTCATTCAACAAATATTCATGTAACATGTTTTTGTGGAACACCCACTATGTTCCAGACAATGTTCTAAGTGTCAGAAATATATCAGGAAACAAAAGAAGCAAAGATTCCTACTTTCTCAGAGCTTACACACTGATAGGAGAGACAGACAAAATAACAAATAAATTATATAGCAAGTAAAAAGATATAGGGTAGTCAGCAAAAGCCTCACTGAGAAGATGACATCTAAGTAAAGACTCACAGGAGATGACGGAGTGAAACAAGGAAATACCTGAGGAAAGACCACTGGAGTTAGAGGGAACAGCTAGTGCAATGGTGCCAAGATGAAACCAGCCCTAGAGAAATACGTGCACATGGAGTATATAAACAAGAAGATACAGAGGAGCACTGTTTATTATAACCCTACACTGGCCAAGCTGTTGCCTGGGCATGAGGCTGGATCTACCCAAAGGGCAACATTTTTCCATTCACACAGTGGGCTTAATAGTGGCCATGATTTTCTACTTCCGAGGTCAGTACATAGTACCTTAAAACAACACACATAATGTTCTGCTTAAAAAAATCTTAAGTTGAATGCTTTATCTTTATGATAAAAATAGTCTAAACAATAAATTTACAGCTTTGAAAAATATATACTTTGTCTCAAATATTACTTATCTTTCATTTGCATCATCTTTTTAAAGGTCTTCTATAATTGTGGCTTCTTCTTTGGTCTAATTGTTATTTAGAAGAGCATTTAAGAGGTTAGAGGTTTGTTTTTTATTTATGTTACTGTTTTCAAGTATCATTATACTTGAAAATTATAATGATATAATAATAAAATTAAAATCATAATGGCCTGAGAATTCAGTTTTACAATTGGTGTTTTCTCTGTATTAGTTGATTTGCTTTGTGATGTAATATGGGATTTTTATTTTTGTCTTTTTAACCAATGTCTTTATTTTTAGCCCATGTAAGCAAGATATTAAATTTTTCTTTGAAATTAAATGTGAAACTCACATTAGAGAATTTGGGATACCACTTTAGTAAAAATTCTTATACTATTAACTATTAAAACCACTGTATGTGATTTGAAAATTCCATTTTAGGGGGTCTGTTGCTGCTTTCTTCTTACCAATTTTGTCAACTTGCAGTCTTTCCCCCTTGTTGAATATGGAATCTCCAACACTGATCAACACTAAACAATATAGAATGCTAGTCCTTTACACAAACTGTGCAACTCTGCGCTTACTAATCACAGTGCTTAGCAGTCAAGAAAGCTGTTTCAAGTTCTGTAACCTTATAAGTAAAATGATAGTAAAAATATCATCAAGTACTCAAGATGGGTTCAAAAGGGCACTTCTGATTCAAGTCCAAGTGTGTGTTTATTCCTAACTTACTTCACAAAACCTGATGTTATTAGGTGCTGATTCTTTAAAACATTATTTATAGTACTTATTAGAGCTGACATCAATAGAATTAGCAATGTACTAGTCTAAAATATGAATGTAGTTCAGCCTGAAAGGTCCTCAAATACTAGGTTCTATAAGTAAATAGTTTCTTGTTAATCAGTACAAAATAATCCAACTCTATGTACTAAAACTTAAAATAAGAAATGTGATTTAAAATAACTTAGTAAATCACTAAATTGGTGAAAATAAACATACCTCCCATTTTTGTCATCTTCATGAATAAAGGAAGGCATGGTCTGTCTGCAAAAATTTCACTTTGATGAACAAGGCATTCCTTAACTATATCATAGCCATTTAGAACCACAGTTGATATGCCTCCAAGATCTAAACTGAAGATCTTTTAAGAAGAGGAAAAGAAAAACAACATTTAAATGGCAGAATATATTGAGAAATATAACCATGAAAATCTACAAGTGGTAACTGCAGCTCTTCCAGGATTTGTTAGGTCCCTGAAAATGTAAGCAGTTATTACTCAACTGACAATGTTCAGAGTATCCTCCTTCTACAAGACATGTAAAATTGTGATTTCATTATGCATTCAGTGCCTGAAGTCACAATCTTACCAACAGTATAATGAAAAGGGTATTGGACTCAGGAGGCCTGAGTCTAGTTTAAGGTTTGACATTAAACAGATAAGAGACTCTGGGCAGAACACTTAACCTATTTGGGCTTCAGTATTGCCAAAGAAAATATATTTGATATACCTCTCTTTTATGATTCATTCCATCCCAAACTGTTCAATGATATCTAGGAATCTCCTTTTATTTACAAGATGAATGAGGCTAGTGAGGGAGAGGATTGTCAAAGACCTGAGAGACAACTTTGAAGTATAAACATATTGTAACTAAGCCCATTTGTATTTGGCTCTCAATTCCACAAAGTTAATGGAGAGGGCCCTAAGGGAACCTGACCTTGGAGGAAAGGCATTTACCACAAAGGCTAGGTGGCTGCCTTTCAGTTAAGGGGAAGGCAAACAGGATCCATTCCATGCCTTGCTGGAGTTGTCTGCCCTGTGCCTCACCTCAGGCTCACTTACAATTTCACACCTCCTGCAGTCTATTCTAGCTAACCCAATATAAGGGCCTAGTCCAGTGAAGGAAGTTCAGTAGAAAGTTATATCAGCAAAGGTCATGAGGTCTGCCAAGTGGTAACAACCAACCAGCTGAGTAATGGGGCCACCAGCGTCTTTGGCCCAAGGGTGGGCCCTGCCAACTGAGCAGTAGGTATATCCAAAACCTTGGGAAAAGAACAGGGACTGCCTGCCATAAGCAGTGGTATTAGTCAAAAGTGACAATGGAAGAGTTCTAAGTAAAAGGGAATGGCTACTAGCCGAGCAAAGTGGGGACAAAGCAGTAATGTAGTCCTATTAAAGGAAAGTCTGTTTGCAGAAGTCAACTTTAGCAGAGACAATAAAAAGATGGGATTTTACAAGAATAGTAAAAGAGCCATGAACTTAAAGTTGTATCACTATGAAGGCAGAACAGAGGGCAAATGTATTTCAGAACAGAGCTTCAGGATAGAGCTTCAAGCTGTGGACACCAGGGATTACAAAAGTCAAGGAGGAGCCATGGCTTGAGAAAGCTGTTACACAATCCACCTTTACTCAAGAATCTGAGACGGTCCTCTATTTGAGGGTAGAACTGGAGAAATTTTTACTTGAACTAGTATCTATTTCTGTATACACGGTTTTCAAGGACTTTTGGTAAAGGTTTGTAAATCAAATTGTGAAAACTTAAACTGCTTTGATCTATCCAAGATTAGCTTATATATTCTTTGATTTATTTAATAATTTTTAGTGCCAATTATGGGCTAATTATAATGCTAGTAGAGATGTAAACAGGAATACACAAAACATTTTCCTTGCCCTCTTCTAGATCACTCCATGATCTTCATGTCTCTTTCCCTTGCCCAAACCAGCCCTACCCATAATTTTTCACTCTCCCAATTAATGACCACTCCATACATCCTTCAAGTTGTTGAGGCCCAAAACTTTGCAGTCACCCACACTGACTCATCATTTTCTTCCAAACTCCACATCCAACTGCTCAGCAGCCATGTTGTTTCTATAGTCTGTTTCTAATCAGACTATTTCTTATAACCTGCAGGTGACTGGTCTAAGTCACCTGCATTTCTCCCTTACGTTATAACCACAACTTTCTAACTAGTTTCCCTAATTTCACCCTTGTCTTTTTACATGTAATTCTCAACATGGCATTCTCTTGCTTCATGACCTTTCTTCTTGCTCTTCTCTTAGTCTAGAATGTTCTTCCTTTTGATATTCCCATAGCTTGCTCCTTCATTTCCTTTAAGTCTTTGTTCAGATGCTATCTTTGTGGCAAGGCCGGTTCTGATTAACCAATTTAAAATCTGACCCTCCCCCCCCCAGCATTCTCCATTCCTTTATCCTAATTTAGTTACTTCCTACTCTGTACTCTTCGAACATATTATATAATTTACTTAATTGTGTTTACATTTTGTCTATCATCCTCCCACTAGAACGTAAGGTACATAAGGGCAGGAATCTGTTTTGGTCACTGCTACATCTCTAGCACTTATGACAGTGCACAGCACATGACAATAGAAATATATGTTGAATTAATTAATAGTTGTGGATACATACATTTAAGCATATTATAACATCACGGTCTAAGTGCTAATAACAGACAAATGTGCAAAGTGCTGTTGATGAAAACCATTAAATGACTGCCACGCTTTTCTACCTTTGCTTGGTTTGTTTCCTCATTTGGAATGCATCCCTTAACTGCCATACTATCCTAACCATACCAAGTCTTTAGGGACCATACTACATGATATCTTTCTTGGGGCACTCTTTTTCTCTCTACTTTGAACCACACAGCACATGCTGAGAAACTCCGGCAGGAGCCTGGCCTGTAGTTGCATATAAATAAGTGTAATTCAAAACAAAATAGAGGCGCTCTGGCCAGGACCCTTGGAAACTGCTGCCCTCTCCAGACGTCGGCACACCCACAACCAAGCGGGGGTCGCCTTTTCCTCTGCCAGTCACTGGGCATTTCCGTGCTGCTTTCTCCTCCGTAGAATGGGGAGGAGCGAAGTACCGACCTCACCGGCTGGTTTTGAGTTTTAAATGAGTCACCAAGTTGGCAGTGACAGTGGCACACAGCAGGCGCCTTTTAAGCATCTGCTAAGGGGACGTTCCCAGCCAGTCAGAACGGCATTGGCGTCTGTGCTGTAGGACCCCCGCAGCGGATTTTAGTCATCAATTCATTCACACGTTCACAATCAATTCCCAGGCCCCGCTTCTCTGTCAGGGGTGTTCCCCTGCGTTCTCCATCCCCACAGCAAACGCCTACACCAGTCGTTCGTCGACTGCTAACACCGAAGAACCTGCTATTAACCATCTAGAACTCAGTAGACCTTGATTTTCCGACAGGCCGCGTGCAGCTTCCACAGAGCTGCACGGCCAACTCGCAAGCCGCCCGCGCCTGAGGGCCGGCATCACTCCCGCACCTGAAGCTGCGGCACCGCCCGCGAGCCAAACGGCGCAGGCGCAAGAGCAAGAGCTCGAGCGCTGGCGGGAAAATCAGGCCTGGATCGCCTTGGGGCCTTGGCCTGGAGTGGGGCACCGGCAGGGGCGGGACTTCCGTCCCAGGGGGCACGGCGTCGCGGACTTCTCCCTCCCAGACCCGGGAAGTGGGTTTTCCTCAAACGGCAGCCGGCACACGGAGAGTTCCTGGCTACTCGGGTCAGGAGCGGCCGTAAGTCTAACCAGGAAGGCCCCAGCCAGCCCTGGCCAGCCTGGCGGGGCGGCCCTCCCTGCCCGGGTCCCGTCGGGACTGTACCTCTCCGTACACCTGGCTCTGCTTTCTCATGTAGACATGGGGAAACTCCGCCGAGGTGGCCAGGGAATAGATGTTGCCGATAAATGGCAGCCCCGGCGGCCCCGGAGGGAAGCCCATCGGCCGCCTCTGCTTCAGGAGCTGGCGGACCCCCAGCGCGAAGAGCAGCAGGAAGAGTGCGCCGCCGAGCGCCGCCGCTCCCTCTTCAGCTCTCCAAAGTTTCCACATCGGCCGGGGCTGGTGCTGCGAACTCTACCGCAGCCTTGAGACCCGGGCACTCACTGCAACCCTGCCGCACTCCCATTGGTAGGATATCCTCAGGTTCTGCCCTAGCTCCGTGGCCATTGGCTGGCTGAGTTAGAGCTCAAGCCCCCGCGGGACAACTACTCTCTAGCTTTGCGCGGCTTTGAGTCGGTTCTGCGGGGCTGGTCGCGGGTGCTGCGCTTTGGAGGTCGCACGGCTCTATGCAGGTCATTGAGCCAGGAGGCAGTTTTCCAGAATATTTACACCGGGGCATACGATGTGTCTGGATGGCCTCACTCACTGGGGCTAGGCGGATCCTACTTCTCTGTGGCCAGCCCTTTCTTAAACTGTCTTTAAGTACCAGGTCTACTTAATTCATTTTGGACTAGGAAAACTGGAGAGATGATCAACACTGCAGTCTAGCTGAACCTGATAGTTTTCAGAATTTCCAGTAGAAAATTGACCCATCAGTAGTAAAAGAAAGTAATTTTACTGTTTTGTCTTGTTTTACTGTTTCTCCTGTTCACGTATTTTGTGTGTGATCTTTTAAAATTGTGATGATTGAGCAGTTTACCTATATTTGACCCCTCTCTGGTCTTTCCAGACTGATTACTTATTGGCAGTCACGGGATTCTTGTCTGCACTTGTTCACGAAGAGTATTTACTATTTTTCTGCCTCTACTGCCTGGAGTTAAGCAACTGATTTCATAATTATTCTTGCTATTTCAGTTTTTATTCCTGTTTTCTATTCGACAGCTCCTTGCAATGCAGGACTTACTGGGTTTGGGACTCAGATTCTAACAGCTGCCCTCTAATTGTGATTTAGCAGTGGCATGAGTTTTATGGTCCACGTTAGCTTATGGCTCCTTCATACAACAAATATTTGTTGAATGTCTACTGTGTTGCCATGTCCTAAGCAATGGAGATACATAGGTGAATAAGAGTAACAAAGTCTCAACTTTTCTAGAACTTACATTCTTAGGAGAGGGAAGAACAATAACGTGGAAATAATAATTTTAGATAATCATAAGCAAATGAAAAGTGTCTTACAGAAAATGCCTGGTGGTTGGGGAGATTATTATAGCTGTTGAAGGATGTCAAGGAAAGTTTAATTAAGAAGATGATGTTGAAGCTGAGATCAACTGCTAAAGAGGTGTATTCGTTTCCTACTGCTGCTGTAACAAATTACCACGAATTTAATGGCTTACAACCACACAAATGTATTTTCTTACCATTCTTGAAGTGAAAAGTCCAAAATGGGTCTTCCTGGGCTGAAAGAGAGGTGTTTGTAGGGCTTCATTCCTTCTAGAGATTAGGGGAGAATCTATTTCCTTGCCTTTTTCAGCTTCTAGAGGCTGTCCACATTCCTTGGCTTTCATCCCCATTCCTTCCTCTTGAAGGCCACTAATGTCAGTTCAGATCCTTCCCACATTGCTGTCTCTCTGACTCTCTCTCTCTTTTACTTCTCTCTTCCACTTGTGATGATCATTGTGATTATATTGGACCCATCTAGATAATCCCCATCTCAAGATCAGCAGATTAGCCATTTAACTCCAGCTGCAACCTTAATTCCTCTTGCCATGAAACCTAACATATTTACAGGTTCTGGGGATTAGTATGTGGACCTATTGGGGGAGGGGAGCATTATTCTGCCTACTGTAGAAGGGAAACTTGAGGCAGACATGGGGGAAAATATTTCAAGCAGAGGAAATACCAAGGGCAAAGGCTTCATATACTAAGCAAACCCTGTCCTCTGACAGTGTTTCCAGTTTCTCCACATCTCCCATGCAGGGACACTGTGGAAATCAGCAAGTTAGTTAGGCCTTTGAGTTTTTTTGTTTAACTGGTTTGTGACCATGCCTAGGGGCTGAAGTTACCCCCACAGAGTATGTGTCACAGAATCTCCAGCCACAGAATATCTACTTACTGCCTATTACAAATGCCTATTAAGAGATTCCTTAAAATTCTTATTAATAATCTAATAAAAAAATAATTATGAGAGATCATTGCTCTAAACCTTGTCTCTAATTTCTTACCAAAGGCCAGTGGAGATGACACAGGATGGATATTGGGACAGTGGGTGGGAGGCAATGCTGTTGAGGCGCCAGGAGCTGTGGAATATCACCTATGGGATGCCTGAGGTCAACCCTGCCTTTGCAGCACCATGAAGCTTACAGTTTTTGGTCTGGCCACAGCTGTTATGCAGTACAGGTACTTGGTTCTGGAGTGGGCCCCCTGCCATCATTTATTTTCAGAAAGGATTAATTTTCATTACAAAAATATCCTCCAATTCACTTAAATTAAAGAGCATTCCTTCTTTGGCATTCTTCCCCTGGCTGCATAGCAGAGGAGAGCTGAGTTACCCCTGATGCAGACTGACTGCACTGATGAGATGTTTCCTACTCCACCACACGCCAGCGCGCTTGAGAGATAATAGGTGGGGGATTCTCAGGAATAGCTATAAGTCTTTCTGGACACAAAGCCTCCCCTGAAACAGTTTATTATGTTCCCTTAGCTCACAAAGAGAAATACCCCCTCCCACTCCCTGCATTTCCTCTTTGAGTGATAGAAAACAATCAACAATGTTTGGCTTTTATCATGACAGGAAGGTTTGGGGAAGCAGGAAGTGAAGGATTTCACTGTTTCATGACTGATATCTTATCTGCAGTACTCAGGGTGGAATAGGTGAATACCCTGTACAGGGCTCTGCCATTTCTATGTGCAGAACATTAATGGTTTTAACAGAGAACAGCAATGTTGTGCCGGAATCAGAGCTTCTTTCTGGGCCTTTGGGAATTGAACTGAAGTTCCAGAATTCATCCTGAGGGGCAGTATCAAGTGAAATTCTTGTGGGCTCCCCTTCTGTTCTTGAATGGCCGCAGCCCTGGCCTGGGCCATGGATGTTGTCCCAGAGAGCTCCCAACACAGAGTGATGCAATCAGTGCAAATGTGCCTCCATTGCATGTTCTATTATGTGCACTATCCGTCTGTTTCATCAGAATAGAAGGAAGGGAGAGTCAGAGCAAGTGCCAAGCTGAGCCATATTGGAGCCTGAGCTAAAAGAAAAACATTGATAGTACTGATGCTGCCTTATTAAAAATCTGATGTTTTGTTCATAATGGGTTTTTGCCTCAGTTTTGATTTGAAAGTGTTGCATTAAAGTATCATCTTGATTCTGAGCTTCTTGGAGCCCTCTTAAATTCTGTTCCCAAGGTGAATTATTCACTTGCCTTATTTTAGTCCTCATGCTGGGAGGTAGGGTACCCAAATGAAGACTTTGATTACAAAATAGTGAGTAGAAACTGTGTTTGTGCTCTTGGGCACTTCTGGGTGAGATTAGGAACCTTATGAAAGTCTCCCTGTGACCACTTTAAAAAGTCCTCCCCACCCCACTGCCTGAAGTTCAGTCTTTACAAATTAATTTATCTGAATTGAACATTCCCTGTAGCAGGCTAAGTTGGAAAATGCAATCCCTGGTGGAGGGAGAGTACAGTAATAGGAAGTTCCTAAAACTGCTTATGCATGCATGAATTTAATCCCACATTTGTAGGCAAGACAGAATGGGAGACATGATGATACTGATTTATTGGAGGTGGTTGCATGGTGACGATGACGGTGGTGGCTGTGGGGATTTAAGAAGAGGTTGCAGAAGGGGAAAGGAAGTTTTGCGGAGAAACTTCTTTTCCTTCACAATTTTTCCAAAGGCTAGATCAATTTAGAGAAATCACATTTCTCAGAACCAGGAGTTATTCTTGCCACTTTCTAGAGATGCTCAGCTAATCAATCCTTGCCACTTCCTCCCATCCAGCTCCCACTGAGCCATCTTCTGTTCTTCATATATTGCATTCCTTTCCTTGGGTTTCAAAAAAATAGAAATCTGAAAGTGCATGAACAGTTCATGATTTTGTTGAAGACCCTCTTCCAAATGTAGTAACAGAGAGTCAGAGGAAGTTTAATGTTCTGTCCAAGGTCACACAAGACAGCACCAGTAGAACCAGAATTCTGGGCTCTTGACTTGCCATGCATTCTTTCAGCCACTCACCACAAATGTATTGGGCACCTACTAGATTAGGTGCTGGAGATATAATGGTAAGCAAAATCAGTCATGGTCCCTATGTTCCTGGGGTTTACAGTCTACTGATGGATGCCAAGACCAGTCAAATAATCACGAGTAAATTTATTATTTATGTTTTCATACATTACTATGTTTTCAAGATGCCAAACATTTCTGTTTTCTGAAGTAAAGAAACAGTTCTACAAGTGTACAAAACACAGGAAATGTGATCAGTCTTGGGGGTCAGTAATTATAGTCTGCACCAAACAACCAGCTTATACCCAGGGACTTCCCCATGATTGTGTTCATGGAAGATGTTACTAAAATTCTTCCCTACCAACTGGTCTCATATGGGACACTGAGTGAAGGGAAAGGAAAGTAACAAAACTCTCTATTTAAAATTCATGAATATCACTCAGAGAGACATTTAAGTCTTAATTTAAAGCTTTCTTACTTTTGCTTTCAAATGAGTTTCATAAACATTCTTATATTGTGCTTCTGAAAACAGTAGATTTGAAGAAGCAAAGTAAACAGTAGATTGAATTGTTGTTAGAGATAACCACACCAGCAATTCTGGAGACAGCTGACAATCTGATAATAAAAAAGGAAACTATAATTATAAAATATAGATGTAACAAACCAAGAAGCACAGAACTCTGAGATCATTAAGGGTAGAGAATATCAATCCCACACATCTCAAAGCCTGAGAGCATCATGTGTATGACAACAGAACACATTAATTCATGTTCTCATTAAATGAACAGCCTCATCAAAGAAAATTAAAATTATATAAGAACATTCTAATTTAAGAGTACATTCTAATTTTAAGAGTACTTCTTAAAAAAGAAAAGAGAGAATAATCAAATAGATGCAATAAAAAACGATAAAGGGGATATCACCACAGATTCCACAGAAATTCAAAACATCATCAGAGATTATTACAAACAACTCTATGCACATAAATTAGTAAACCTGGAAGAAATGGATAAATTCCTGGACACTTGCATCCTCCCAAGCCTAAACCAGGAAGAAATTGAAAACCTGAATAGACCAATAACAAGGTCCGAAGTTAAGGCAGCAATTAAGAGCTTACCACCCAAAAAAAGCCCAGATCCAGACAGGTTCACAGCCGAATTCTACCAGACATACAAAGAGGAGCTGGTACCATTCCTTCTGAAACTATTCCAAATAATCCAAAAAGAGGGAATCCTTCCCAAATCATTTTATGAGACCAACATCATCCTGATACCAAAACCTGGCAGAGACACAGCAAGAAAAGAAAACTTCAGGCAAATATCCATGATGAACATAGATGCCAAAATCTTTAATAAAATACTGGCAAGCCGATAGCAAGAGCACATCAAAAAGCTTATCCACCATGATCAAGTAGGCTTCATCCTGGGGATGCAAGGCTGGTTCAACATACGCAAGTCTATAAATGTAATTCACCACATAAACAGAACCAAAGACAAAAACCACATGATTATCTCAATTGTTGCAGAGAAGGCCTTTGACAAAATTCAACAGCCCTTTATGCTATAAACCCTCGATAAACGAGGTATTGACGGAACGTATCTCAAAGTAATAAAAGCTATTTACAACAAACCAACAGCCAATATCCCACTGAATGGGCAAAAACTGGAAGCATTCCCTTTGAAATCTGGCACTAGACAAGGATTCCCTCTCTCACCACTCCTATTCAATATTTTACTGGAAGTTCTAGCCAGAGCAATCAGGCAAGAAAAAGAAATAGAGGGTATTCAAATAGGAAAGGAGGAAGTCAAATTGTCTCTATTTGCAGACGACATGATTATATGTCTAGAAGACACCATCGTCTCGGCCCCAAATCTCCTGAAACTGATAAGCAACTTTAGCAAAGTCTCAGGATACAAAATCAATGTGCAAAAATCACAAGCATTCCTATACACCAGTAACAGACTTAAAGAGAGCCAAATCAAGAACGAACTACCATTCACAATTGTTACAAAGAGAATAAAATAGGAATACAACTAACAAGGAATGTAAAGGACCTCTTCAAGGAGAACTACAAGCCACTGCTCAATGAAATAAGAGAGGACACAAACAGATGGAGAAACATTCCATGTTCCTGGTTAGGAAGAATCAGTATCGTGAAAATGGCCATAATGCCCAAAGTAATTTACAGATTCAACGCTATTTCCATCAAGCTACCAATGACCTTCTTCACAGAACTGGAAAAAAACACCGTAAACTTCATATGGAACCAAAAGAGAGCCCGCATAGCCAAGTCAATTCTAAGCAAAAAGAACAAGGCGGGAGGCATCACACTACCGGACTTCAAACTATACTACAAGGCTACAGTAATCAAGACAGCATGGTACTGGTACTAAAACAGAGCTATAGACCAATGGAACAGAACAGATGCCTTGGAGGCAACACAACATATCTACAACCATCCGATCTTTGACAAACCTGACAAAAACAAGCAATGGGGAAAGGATTCCCTGTTTAATAAATGGTGTTGGGAAAACTGGCTAGCCATGTGCAGAAAGCAGAAACTGGACCCCTTCCTGACACCTTACACTAAAATTAACTCCAGATGGATTAAAGATTTAAACATAAGACTTAACACCATAAAAACCCTAGAAGAAAATCTAGGCAAAGTCATTCAGGACGTAGGCATAGGCAAGGACTTCATGACCAAAACACCAAAAGCATTGGCAACAAAAGCCAAAATAGACAAATGGGACCTAACTCCACATTAGACAAATAGACAAACTCCACAGCTTCTGCATGGCAAAAGAAACAGTCGTTAGAGTGAATCGGCAACCAACAGAATGGGAAAAAATTTTTGCAGTCTACCCATCGGACAAAGGGCTGATATCCAGAATTTACAAAGAACTAAAACAGATTTACAAGAAAAAAAACAAGCCCATTCAAAAGTGGGTGAAGGATATGAACAGACACTTTACAAAAGAAAACATACATGAGGCCAACAAACATATGAAAAAATGCTCATCATTACTGGTCATTAGAGAAATGCAAATCAAAACTACATTGAGATACCATCTCACACCAGTTAGAATGGCGATCATTAAAAAATCTGGAGACAACAGATGCTGGAGAGGATGTGGAGAAATAGGAACACCTTTACACTGTTGGTGGGAGTGTCAATTAG